TTCTCCTTTAAGTGCACATGTGATGGCATTTGGACCCTACTCAAATAATCCAGGATCACCAAAATCCTCAATTTAGCCATACCTAAAAAGACCCTTTTTCCAAATAAGGTAATATTCATAGTTTCCGGGGAGTATGGTCTCCTATCTTGGGGATGTAAGAGCATTATAACTACTTACCACACCCTGTTAGTAATTCATACAAGATGGTGATATGGTCGGATTGATTCCATAACAGATCTCTCTGGGGGAACAGGCTATAGGAGGTAAGGGGCACACTACTGCAGCAATCAGATGAGAGATGGCAAAGCTTTGAGAAGCGAAATCAAACACAGATCTGCCTCAGTCACAATCCACTAATGAGGAGGCTGAACACTAGTTGAGAGGAGGATTCAGGAGCCAGGCTTCCTGTTGTGCCACTTGCTAGCTTTTTGCTTTTGGCAAGTCATTTCTTCCTCTGTCAAGTACCTGCTCTAGATTCACTGCTAGGCATTTTGTCAGCTTTTTCACTGCTGTGACTAAAAGAACTGCCCAGAGCAATTTTAAAGGAGAAAAAGTTTATTTAAGGACTCACAGTTTCAGAGTCTTAGTTCACAGAAGGCTGGCTCCGTTCCTCCTGGCTTGAGGTGAGGCAGGACATTATGGCAAAACAGTGTTGCAGAGGGACACAGCTCACATGGTGGTCAGAAAGCAGAGACAGACTCTCCACTTTCCAGAATCAAAATATAGACCCCAAAGCCAAACCCCCAATTCCCACCTCCTCCAGCCACACCCCACCAATTCAGTTACCACTCAGTTAATCAGTGATTAATTCACTGATTAGGTTAAGGGTATGACTTAATCATTTCTCCAAACCTTCTTACATTGTCTCACATTTGAGCTTTTGGGGGATACCACTCTAAACCATAAAACTAGGATTCAGAGAAAATGTATAGCAAGTTTTACAGAGCCCAGTCAAAAGAAAACTCAATAACTATTTGCTATTGTTATTTTATTTATACCTGACATTGCACATTTCCATTGTATTGAATTATGACATATAGATGGGAAACTAAAACCCAAGTGGAAAATTAAATGAATTTAAAAACTCCAACAGGTAGAAACTTGCTTTCGTATGCATTATAAAGAAGTCACTTATACTATGTGGTATAAAGATTTTATAAAGGACTACAGTATTTTAGAAGTTTATCTTGACAATCAAATTCTTTAAACTTCCAGATGTCAGAAGTTCAAATCACATATTAAAATCTAACAACTAAAACTTTAATTTAATATGTTGTGGGGAAATAATTAAAACAATCAAAGACCACAGAAAAATTATCCTTTTTCAAAAGATACACTAGGATTAAATTATGTAACATGTATATAACAGCTATATTTTAAAGTGTTCCCAAATTTAAGAACTTAAATTAGAGGTAAAAATATTTCTCCTCTAGATTTTTACTTAAATTTAACCTCAAGATGAATGGCCTAACTGCAGTACCACTCATCATCCACTGTGGACACAATTTAGAAAGTAAACTTCAAAAATATAATGGAATTAGTTCAATTCCAATCCTAACTCTGTTTCTGCCATTTTATTTTTAATGTTAAATTACTGCATCTCTAAAACTGAAAACAACAGTTTATTTTTTAAAATCCATTTTCAGTTAAGACATTATTGTAAGGATGAAAGTCAAATTCAAGAAAACAAAAATACAAGTGGTGAAATTTTGTAACACAAAAAGCAAGCAAAATCTCCAGTGCTATTTTATCTGATATCTTTAAGTTAAAGACAAAATAAGGGTTAGTTCTAAAAAGTGCATATATTTATGTCACAAATGAACCTTGGAATGATTACTTCTTGCATAAAAAAATGTTTATCATTGATATTTTTATATTCTTTCAAAGTAAATCATTTATAGAAAAAACAGAGTTAGTAAATAGTTAGATTATTTTTCCTCATGGACTTAACAGATCATCAACTAAGATACTGAAAACTATCAGGATCATAGTATACTCAAGCCAGAAATCTGGAAGCCATCCCTCACTTCCTGAATCCAATCCATTATGAAGTTCTCGTCACTCAACCTCAAATAAATGTATCTCAGGTATTACCTCACACTCTACTGTCTGAACAAGTCATCTCAACCAAGCCACCATCAAATATCATAAGGACCAGTGATGAAGCTTCCTACTTGTCCCATTCCAATCCACTCTCCATAAAGTAACCAAAATGATCACTGTAAACTATAAGTGGGATCAAATCACTGTCCTGCATGAAGCATTCAATGGCCTTACAYCGCCTAAGAATAAAACTAACTATGAAATGCTCTGACCTCTTCTGCAGTCATAGCCCACCCCCACCCACTAGTTCCAGCCACACCTTCCTCTCTGTTTCACCAAGCTGTTGAACCTAGGTTACCTACTACTCTCCGGAGACTCTTAAATGGCTGTCCTCCACATCCCTTCAGTTTTCAGCTCATCAAAGAGGCTTTCCAAGACCTCCCAGCACAGCAGGTTGCCCTGCTACTTTATATCATTTTCTCCTGTTCTTTACACTCAAAGCCCTTAACAAAAATGACAGTTATACCTTTTGCCTATTTGTTGAAAGTCTCTTTCCCCTCTGTACTACAGCCTTCCTGGGGACAAGTTCCTCATCTGTGTTTTATTCCTCTCTATTTCCCCAGCACTTAGAACAACAGTGCCTGTCCCCTTGAATGAATGAATGAATGAATGAGAAAGAATGTCATTATTACAAAATGCTCACTTTGGGATACAAGATTGATTTTTTTTCCTAAAATTAACTAAGAAATTTTGGTCATGGCAAAATGAATAAAGTGGCTATAGGATTTCTGTCATGGCTTCACCATTGGAAAGCAAGCACTCACAGAAACAGGGCCCATCTGAAAAGGGTGCTAACCAGGAAAGCAATAAGTCTTCACAATCTCTCAATGCAATGATTTTAAAATGACTAGCACATAAGCAGAGGTTCCATCATTTGAAATGGGGCTGATTAAATGTCTGGCCACCTACATTACATATTAAACACTCAATAAAAGTATTTTTGGAGTTGCCCCTATAAAGCCTCTCTCATTTGTTTGATTCTTCTGCATTTTTCCATAAAGCCAGAATCACACAATGCTCTCTTCTATATCCTTATTCTTTTTCATAGTTTTTAGGACGTTCTGATCCAGAATATAATTTGAGACCTCTTTTAACTTTTWWWAAAAAAAAAAATCTCTTCAAACTTAGTTTAGGGAAAGTTAAAGGAAGATACTAACAAACTGTTGTTATGATTAACTAAAGAAACAAAGACAAACTTTTAGCAATAAAGATTTCTTAATACAAAAGTAGTGTAAATTTTATTTGCATGCATTTAATCAGTTAATCCTCTGTATTATGGATCACTTTTAATGATTTTAGGAGCTTAATAAAATAATATCTTTCATAACTCAAGCAGGCCTTACAGTTTCAGAAGATATAGCAGATACTTCCTATAAATATAACATAGTAAGTGTATATTCTTTTGTTTTACTTTTTGGTGCTGGGGGTTTAAACCAGGGCTCACATATTCAAGTGTATGTTCTTTATACATTCTCATAAAATTAATGCTTTCCTGAGAGTTCTTATGTACTTGCTTTATTGTGGGGCCATAAGCCAAAGAATTTTGGCAAAATAATTTAGAGACTGCTAACGGTCACTACTCTTTATCTTTAATCTTTTATTCCTGCTTTATACAGCACTGGAGTTTCAACATGCTCTCTTGGAACAGATTAGCCAGCTCAACACAGAGTATGCAGCTTACTTAATATTTCTGGCTTTAAATCTTATTTGCTTATTTATATTAACTCCATTATCAAGAGGATCTAAACATCTATTCCTCTTTACAATTGTTTAACTAGCATTTCCAAGTTCCCTGCTATCAGGCTTAGGTCAGTTAATATCATTGAAAATCAAATAGGAAAATGAACATGGTCTGAGTAGATGGCATTCTTCTGGGAAAGAAAAACAGATATGAAAAAAGCTTGATTCACATGTGAATTACATGCAATACCAAACTAAACATTATCTCAATTCACCACTCTAACCAGTAAAAACAAATCATATTGCATCTGTATACAGATGTAGGTAGCTTATAAAAACGGCACAGTCCATCCCTCATATAAACCCAGGAACCAAAACCATGCCAGATCTGCCTAAAAAGAAAACCTGGGGACACACACACAATAACAGTATTTTAAACATATATAAATCAATTTTTAAAACTAAGAAAAAATATAAAACCAAATAAAAAGCCAAAGCAAAGTGTACAAAACTTGCCATAAGCAAAGCATTATCTCCACTGCCATGTAACCTCCCTGATCCCATGAGCAGGTAAGCTTCTGAAGAACACAGACTGCTGTCTGCTTTATTCTTTCAAGTTCTTTAAAGAAGAGACCGCTCATAGGTGCCATTAAATCATAAGTGCTAAAAATTAAATATTTAACATAACAATCAATAAATATGTAATCAGAAGAAAAAAGTAGAGAAAACATTTTATGTTCATAGCAAGAAAGCAAATTCTGAAGGAATTTAGGAAGCAATAAAACAAAATAAAACCAAAATTTTGGTCTTGATGGCCATAATTCAACCTTCATTTGATGATTCTTCAGTTACCATAGGACGTTTATTAGGACAATCATTAAATTACAGTATCAATGCTGTATAAATATAGATTAACATGTTAATATAGGTTTAGTCAACAAAACAAAATATTTATGATTTAAGGAGAATTAGATTTTCGAGCAATTAAAAAGCTGACTCTAAAATGTTTCTAAAGAAAAAATGGCTTGTGAAGAAATCATTATAACAAATCTCCCTAAATGTTTTCCTGTAATTCAAAATGTATAAAGTAATCCTTCCTCTCCTCACTTACTAGATATGAAATATCAGCCACAAAGCACCAAAACTTTCTCCCAAGAATGACAACACACTACTGGGGAAAAAATGAGAAATTGAAAGCTTATTTCATACCAACTTACTCTGACTTTTGGCAAGACTCTCCGAAGCGTCTCAGTAGGATTCTGTCGCATCAAAAATGGAAGATTTGCAATCACACTTGTTCCTTGAATATCCTGACCAGCACTTACAAAGAAAACACCAATGTTAAATTTATAATTATAAGCTGACTTCTTGATTTAAATTATAAAAGAACAGATTCATTTGGAAACTGACACTATTAATGACTTCCTACAAAGTTTTAAACACATCATTGAAATTTTAAAATAACATCAGAAATAAAATTTCATTAAGTAAATATTATAACAAATACATGAAGATATTAATTATGTTTATACTAAGGTAATATTCTCTGTTTATAAACATGTTTTAAGTCTTAAAGTCTTGAGTCTACTATTAAAATTCACTTTAAAATTCTACCTCCTTTTACCCTACCAGTCGACTTACTTTATAAAAATACATATGCAAAAGACAAATTTTTATTTTGGTAAGATAATAATCATAGGAACAAGAGTGACAGGCAATTAAAATCAACTATAGCAAAGTACACAACTTTCTTTTAGCATAATGAAATTACTTGTTACACTAGACTGGCTCCATGAGTTTCTAGAAACTTCTTAAAAATACACTTAATATTCTTAATGGTCAGTAGGGTCTGATTATACAATACTTTTTTGACAAAACATTCATTAAGGTTTTACCAAAATAATCAAAATGAAACCCCAGTGGCCTAAATGCCTTCAAAAAATATTCAGATCTTCTGAAAAACCATTTCTATGAACTGCAAAAAAAAAATTGTTTTTAAGATACCACTAAGTGACAAATGTTCTGCAAGTTGTTTAAATGTTTATCAAACAGATGCTAGTAAATGGCCTCAGAGGGAAATTCTATCTATCCATAACTGATGCCAATTTAAATATTAATTATTAATGATACAACATTCGCTTATTTAAAATTTGTTGGTTTTTTTTTACTTCTCTTGAAATGGAATATTTATAGTTATGAGAGGTACATAAGACTTTAATACATGTTTTTAAAAATAGTTTCTTAAAGTAATGTTTCTGGCTCAAAGTTTTTAAGATCTGTTTATAAGAAATATGTTCTGATTCTAAGTGAAGCCACCCTGCTGTAAAAAAGTCTTTTTTCCTATTGCAATATGATGGGATATGAAATATAGGACATCATAATCTTTTCACTGTTCTCACCATTTTCTAAGAAAATATTTTAATGACAAAATTAAGAAGGAAAAATAGAAGGCATGAAATCAGGAACCATACCAAGATGGGGAGAGGATCAAAAAAGGGAACTTAAAGTGGCATGTAAACATGCTACTTGTAGTAGGTCAAACCATAGCCCTCTAAAAGATGTCTGCTCCTAATCTCGGAGCCTGTGAATGTTTTCTTAATTTTGGAAATGATCTTGAGATGAAGAGATCATCCTGGATTATCTGGGTCAGCCCTAAATTCAATAACACAAGTATCCTTAAAAGAGTCACTCAGATGGAACTGGGGATGTGGCTCAATGGTAGAGTACTTACCTAGTATACACAAGGCCCTGGGTTCAATCCCCAACACCACAAAATAAAGAGTCACTCAAAGAAGACAGAAGAGGGGAATGGAGTCTGATCACAGACCCAGAGATGGGAGGGATAGAGCCATATGTCAAGGGTTGCTGACACCCACCAGGAACCAGGGAGGCCAAGAACAGATTCTCCCCAAAGGCTCAGTTGATTTCTTATTTTCAGACTTCTTATCTACATAACTATGAGAAAATATATTTTGTTGTTTTAGGCTACCCAGTCTGTGGTAATTTGTTACAGTAATGACAAGAATTAAATACACTACTAAAGAACTAAAAGAGAAGTATCTGGGGAAAAAATTATCTCAATATAACAATGCCTGACCCAAGGTGCAGGTTTAATACATATCTCTTGAAAGAATGGGTAAATAGATGGCTAACTGGACAAACAGATATCAGAAATATTTAATATTGAATATTCAGTAAATTCTATTCACTAACTTCTTAAGTAGAAAAAAAAGGAATRTGATCTTTAATTCATCGTAAATGTGAAGATAAATCATTTCACAGGAAGAACAATAAGGAAAACCAAAAGAGGAAAAAGAAATCATAAACATAACAAAGTGAACAGAAACAAAAAATAAAATGGCAGATTCTAGCCATAAAATATCAACAATTACATTCAATATAAATGGGTGATACACATAAATTAAAAGTCAGGGTGTTGATTTTAAAACATAACAATATGCAGCCTATAAGAAGCTCATTTCAAATAATATCAGCAAGTAAAGAATGGAAAATTATACACTATGGAAATGTGAATCAAAAGAAAGGAGGCTATGTCAATAGCACATAAAGAAATCCTTTGAGACAAGAAAAGCACCAGGAACAGACAGGGCCATGACATAATAATAAAAAAGATGATCCACCAAGAGACACAGCAGTCTTAAATGTAGATACACCAAGGAGGGTGGCAAAATGTGTGAAGCAAAAAGTGATGGAACAGGAAGGAGGAACAGACAAATAAACAAGCATAGGTGGAGACTTTAACACCCATCTCTCTGGGTAGAAAAACTGCATAGAAATGAGAAGGACACCTGAGGACCCAATAATCCCACTAACCAACAAGATCTAACAGACATTAACAGAACACCTAACAACAGAAAACACATTCGATTTAAAACCCAAAGGAATCATATCAAGAAAAAACACATTTTAGACCATAAAACAAACTTCAACAGATTTTTAAAAATTAAAATCATGCAGTTTTCTCTTAGGATAATCAAATCAAACTAGAAATCAATAACAGATAACATAAAACTCTTGRAAATGAAACAACATACCTCTACATGCTCCAAGAGGGTTAAAGGAGTCTCAAGGGTAATTTTTAAAATGTTGACGTAAATGAAAATGAAAATAGAACATATTAAAATTTGTGGGATACAGCTACTGCAGTGCAGAGAAGGGATTTTATAGCACTAAGTACACACGTTACAAAACAGGAGAACTCTCATATCAATAATCTACCTTTCCACCTCAAAAACCTAAAAGAGTAAATAATCACAATTTTAAAAAGAAAGAAAATCAATGAAGAGCAGAAATTAATGAGGATAAGGACAGATAATAATAGAGAAAAGGAGTAAAACAAAGAAAGACCTGGTTGTTTTAAAATATCAAGAAAATTGACTGTCCTCTAGCAAGAATGACAAAACAAGAATGGCAGAAACAAGAGAAGACACAAATCACCAATATCAGGATTGAACCAGGAGACAACACCACAGATCCTGCAGACAACAAGGGGTAAGAAGTGAACRCTACAAAATATTCTGCACATGAAAATTTGATGACAGAAAATGAACTAGTTTCTTAAAAAAAAAAAAAGACTTTCCACAATTCATCCAATATAAAAGAGATAATTGAATAGTCCTACAATTGTTCAGAAAACAGAATTCATATTTTCAAACTCCTAAAGAAAAAAAAAACCTTCAGGTCTAGATAATTTTACTGGAAATTTAACCAAATACTTATTGAAGAATTAACACCATTCTACATTCTTTTCCAGAAAACAGAAGAGGAGGGAACACTTTCTAAATCATTTAAAGAAGCTAGTATGACACCCAAACCAGGCAAAGCAACAACAAAATATAGAGCACTATCTCTCATTAATATAAAGGGAAAAAATCTTTAACAAAATATTACCACGTAAAGTACAGTAATATATAAAAGGAATAATTATACACCATGATAAAATAGGAGTTATTTGAGATTCAAAATCAATGTAGTCCATCATATTAATAGACTAAAGAAGAAAAAAACACATCATCATTTCAATGCAGAAAAATATTTGCCAAAATTCAATACATGTACACTGAAATTACAATTCATTATCATTTACAGTCACTCAAAAAAATACCAACAAACTGAGTACTTGTGTGCTGAAAATTACACAACACTGATGAAAGAAATCAATGGTTATTTTAAACAATGATAGACATGCTCTGTTAATAGATTAGGAAATTCAGCATAGTAAATATGTCAATGCTCCCTTAACTAGTATATTTTGGGGAGACATAGATAATATTTTTCTAAAATGTATACAGAAAGTCAAAGTAAGAATAGTTAAAACTATTTTGAAAAAGAAGAATGAAATGAGAGGAATCTGTCCTCCCAAGCTGTATTCTTTGTATACAAAGACAGTATTGCATTGGTGGGGGGACAGACTCTTAAGTCAATGGGAAGGTAAATCAATGGAGAAAAGACAATCTGTTCAATAATTGGGTATCTACACGCATAAAAATTAAAAAAATATATAGTCAAATTAATGCAAACAAAAAACTCTAAAATTTAAAAAAAAAAAAACAGGAGAAAATCATCTAGATCTAGAACTAGGTGAAGAGTTCTTAAACTTCCATATGATCTATTGAAAGAAAAACTGTTAAGTTGAACTTTACCAAAATTTAAAATTTTTGCAGTGAAAGACCCTGTAAGAGAATGAAAAGACACACAACAGGTTGAGAGAAAATATTTGCAAATTGCATGTTTGACAAAGGACTATTATCTAACCTATAAATAAACCTCTCAAAAACCAACAGTAATAAAACACAATTCAATTAAGAAATGGACAAAAAACACAAAAGAGAGATTTCACTGAAGATAATATAAAGAGTACAAATAAACACAGTAAAGTATGTTAAATATAATTAACCATTAGGCATACACAAATAAAACCACAATGAAATATCACTACATACCTACTAGACTGACTAAAATAAAAAAGAATGATATTACCAAAAGCAAAGGAATCAGGATTACTAAATTCATTGCTAAAGAGAATGTAAACTGACACAGCCACTTTAGAAAACAGTTTGGCAGTTTCTTAAAAAAACTAAAAACATACAGCATATAACCAGCAATTTGTACTCTTAGGCATTTATCCCAAAGAAATGAAAACTTATGTTCCATAAAAATATGTGGATGAGTGCTTACAGTTCCTTTATTTTAATAACAATAAAAAATGAAAACAACCATATGTCCTTAAATGGGAGAAATGGCACATCCATACAAGGAATGCTACTCAGCATTAAAAAAGATCAAACTATTAATATATG